CAAAAAAAAAAAAAAAAAAAGGTAGTGTGCACCTGTAGTTCCGGCTACCTGGAAGGTTGAGGTGGAAGGATCACCCGAACCCAGCAGGTTGACGCTGGGGTGGCCGTGAGCATGCCACTGTACTCCAGCCTGGGAGACAGATTGAGACTCCAACTCAAAAAAAATAAAAAAGAATAAAAACTTTTACTCCTTCAAGCACAAAGCTTTCTGGGTTGTACTTCACACACACACACACACACACACACACACACACACACCCCCTACACACACATACACCACAACACATGCTCAGAATGAATATTATATCCCCGTGTGCTATGGCATCTTAGGTTCCTGTCAACTCCACTGTAGGATTATCACCTGTTTACCCAACAGCATCCCCCACAAAGACTGTCAGCTCCTAGATGACTATGGCTTCTTGTGAATCTTCTGTTGTAACTGTCTCAGTGTCTGGAACTGTCTCAGTGTCTCAGGATGTGCCCAGGACATGGGAGCTATGTGACTAAATGAATGCACAATCTAGGCCAGTCATGGAAACTGCCCTACTTGAAAATGCAGCGAAACAGCTTAGGTGTTCTACATTCTCCTTCCTCTGCTTGACATTTTTACTCAGATGCCACGATGTACCCTCAAAACTGGAGGCATTTGAAGATCTATGTGAAATACTCTGAGAGGCTATGTACCAAATATTAATCATGGTAACTCTTGGCGGGAGAATTATGAATGAGCTCTGTATTTTCACATGGGGCCTTGTCAGCTCTGCCAAGCAGTGTTTTCTCTGTGTGCTTTTGAACTCTCTCCACCTCCTCACTTCCTTTAACACTGCTACTCGGGCAACCCCCTCAGGTCCCCTCCCACTGTGGGAGCTTTTCTGTCCTCTCAATAAATCCTGTTTAAAAAACAAAAAAAAAAACACTGATACTCTTCTTATCAGGCATCAGCCTCTAAGTCACTTTAGTCAGAAAGTCTTCCCTGAGTCCTCCTTCCCCCAGCCTGGATTGTCAGGTCCCTAGTTCTGAGTGACTTCCTCTACCATAGTACATATCGTTCCATACCTAATTGTCATTTTATGTATTTGTCTCTTTCTTTTTTTTTTGAGTAGGAGTCTCACTCTGTCGCCCAGACTGGAGTGCAGTGGCCGCTCCCGGCCACCGCAACCTCGCCTACTGGGCTCCAGGGATCCTTCCGCCTCAGCCTTCCAAGTAGCTGGAATTACAGGCATGCACTACCACGCCCGGCTGATTTTTTTTTTTTTTTTTGATTTATTGTAGAGATGAGGTCTCGCTGCCCAGGCAGGTCTCGAACCCGCGGGCTCAGGCAATCCACTCACCTCAGCCTCCCAAAGGCGCGGGATTACAGGCTGAGCCACCGAGCCCGGCTGATATGTGTTTTTGTTGTTATTGTAGTTTGAGTCAGGGTCTCACTTTATTGCCCAGGCTGGAGTGCAGTGGCACGATCACAGGTAACTGCAGCCTTGAACTCCTGGGCTCAAGCAATCCTCCTGCCTCAGCTTCCTGAGTAGCCAGGACTACAGGTGTGTGCCATCATGCCCAGTAATTATTTGACTTTTTTTTCATAGAGACAAGGTCTTGTTATGTTGCCCAGGCTGGTCTTGAACTCCTGGGCTCAAGCAATTTTCCCACCTTGGCCTCCCAAAGTGCTGGAATTACAGGCGTGAGCCACTGTGCCCAGCCTCAATGATATTTGTTAAAGCACCGTGAGAAAAATTTTACTCAATGCCATTGCAATAGGTATAAGCTCCACTGCAGTGGGGTCTTGCAGTGGGAGAGAGACTGCACTCAACTCTAAATACAGCATGAACAGGTGGAAATTTATAGCCAAGGAGCAGTGTGGAGGGTCAATGGATGGAAAATTACTAAGAGGAAACATCAGTAAGGGGGATTCTGGCAAAACCAACCTAACAGGATTCTTGCTGAAGACATGCCACAGTGATCAGACATTACCCGGGGGATGGTGCAGGATGAAGAAACTGATCAGATATAGAGAATGATCAGATATCAAGGATGGGGATTTCTGGCTAAACTGACTGGTAGGGTTCTTTTGCTAAAGCTGGATTTTACAAGGAAGTGCACAGAGGAACATAGGAAAATGTTCAGAAACCTGGCTAAAGTTTGGTCAAGCAAAAAATGTATGTTATTCATCCCTACTCCAAATTCTCATCTCCATCCACCTCCAACAAACATTCTTGATGTTTGGAAACCTTTGGGGAGCTTGGCCAACTGGTCATACCCTCACCCTTGCCTGACTTACAATCAGCTGTAGGTCATCCAGATGGGTGAGCATGCCCACCAGGCTGGTGCGGATGACGTCAAGCTTCTGCAGCGCCTCCGCCCAGTGCACCCGCTGTGTCAGGATACTCTGGTGGGCCCGCTCCTCTTCACCATGCACCTGTTCCAGTAACCTCTGCTCCTCGCTCTCGCACAGACTCCTCACCAGACTCAGTCGCTGGATAACCAATTCCCTTGCTGCACTGGCCATGCTCTGACAAAAGATAAAATGAGGAGTTGGGTCCTGGCAAAGTCCCAGTCAGGATTAACAGGGTTTAGGCTCAGCAGGAAGAAGTGCTGAGATTGATTAGCAATGTCTGCTGTAGGTTTAGTAAGAGAAATAACAGTACTTAAGCCATTTACTTTAACATCCCAGCCCTAAGACTTCCCAAATATGATTTAGGGTAAAGAAATCTGAGTTCCAAACAAACAGATCATATTTCATACAGTCATGATTAGAGAATGGAAGACCTGGGCGGGGCTTAGAAATCAACTAGAGTTACCTGCTTATGTTACAATTGGGAATACGAAGGCTAAGTGATCAAGGTCAGAGAGTCCCAGAACTGCAGAACAGAGCAACTAAAAAGTCACCCCCATCAGCAGGATCCATACCAACAGTGGTAAAGTTGGTATTTCACTTCATCTTGGGACAAATGATTGATTACTTCCTAAAGCTGTGTATTTCAACTGGTTCCATGGTAGAATTTTTATTTGCCACAGAGAGAGTCTGAAATCAATTCTCAGACAATAAAGTTAACAACTATCTTCTAACTTTTAGCACAGTACCTAGCATGTAGTAAATACTCAAATATTGACTGAATGGGAATTTTTTTCCTGACTTAGTAAAAAAATCTCCTGGTAGCACTCACATGTCAATTCAGTAGAAGAGCTGAGGCTAGAACCCAATTCTCTGGGCTTTCGGTCCAACACTATTCCCCTACATTAGATGTCATCTGGTAACCAACCCTCCCCAAGGTGCCAGTTATATAAAGCACCTGCACCTGTATATGCTTGCCAGACAAGGGAGAGTCGAACTGCCTTCTTCATGTCAAAAAGTTAGGGATAGCCAGAAGCTTTTGCTATGCTCTGTCCCTGAAGACCTGCTTTGTACAGTCACGGGGCTGTCATTTTTGTTTTGTTTTGTTTTTAGTTGGAGTCTCACTCTGTCACCCAGGCTGGAGTGCAGTGGCACACTCACGGTGACCCTAGCATTGACCTGCTAGGCTCTGGCGATCCTTCCGCCTCAGCCTTCGAAGTAGCTAGAACTACAGCCACATGCTACTGTGCCCGGCTAATTTTTTTTTATTTATTGTAGAGATGAGGTCTCGTCAAGTTGCCAGGGCTGGTCTCAGGCAATCCCATGGGCTCAGGCAATCCATTTGTCTCGGCCTCCCAAAGTGCTGGAATTACAGGCTGAGCCACCAAGCCCAGCCTCGTTTTTGTTTCATAGAAAAAACTGAGGCTCATAATTTGTCTGATAGGGAGGAGAGAGTGGCTAAGTAAATGGCAAGTGAACTCAGAAGGTCAGACTCCAAGTCCACAGTGTTTTCTTGAGGCAACATAACACAGTGGTTAGGAAATTAAGCTTTAGAGACAGTGTTTAGATTTAAATCTTTTTTTTTTTTTGAATCAGAGTCTTACTCTGTCACCCAGGCTGGACTGCAGTGGCATGCTGTTCACAGCCACAAAGCCTCAACCAGCTGGGCTGAGGTGATCCTTCTGCCTCAGCCTTCCAAGTAGCTGGGACCACAGGCATGCGCCACTACACCTGGCGAATGTTTTCGATTTATTGTAGAGATGAGGTCACGCCATGTTGCTCAGGTTGGTCTCGAACCCCTGAGCCCAGGCAATCCTCTCGCCTCCATCTCCCAAAGTGCTGGGATTACAGGCATGAGCCACTGTGCCTGGCTAGATTTAAATCTTAACTGCTCCACTCACCAGCTGCAGAACTTTGAGCATGTCTCTTATCTTCCCTATGCCTTAGTTTTCTAATCTATAAAATGAGGATAATATCAGCACCTACCTCATAAGACTATGGTGAGGATTAAATGTGTTAATACACATAAAGTAAATAGAACAGGCCAGACATAGTGGCTCATGCCTGTAATCCCAGCACTTTGGGAGGCTGAGGCAGGATTGCTTGAGCCCAGAAGTTCAAGACCAGCTTAGGCAACATGATGAAACCTTGTCTTTCCAAAAAAAAGTTTAAAAAATTAGCCAGGCATGGTCGCACACACCTGGAGTCCCAGCTACTCAGGAGGCTGAGGCAGAAGGATCGCCTGAGTCCAGGAGGTCAAGGCTGCAATGAGACAAGATCACGCCACTGCACTCCAGCCTGGGCAACAGAGTGAGACCCCAACTCAAAATTTTAAAAAGTAAATCGGACAAAACTTGCCACATGATAAGTGTTCAATATCATTTGCTATCATTCTTCCATCTATCCCACCATGATGTCTTACCCACAGAAGTGGGCCCTGACAGCCATGTTTGTACTGTGTGATCCTGGATCAAGAATGGATCCTCACCCAAGACAGATCAGATGTGTCCTGCTTAAAAGACTCTAGTCAATTGCAAGAAGTTTCTTGAGCCATTTCCAGAAAAGGAAAGCAGAGAAAAGAAAAAGATTATGTCTCCAAGGATATGACAGAGAGTAGATAAACCAAAACCCTCTCAGAATGAAGCACAGAAATACTGGAAAAATCACCCAAGCATCCTTTTAAAAGAGTAATGAAGTAAAGAAAATTCTCCAGGGTCCAAAAATAGGAAACTGAACACCAGTATAATCAAGCTGAGGACACAACTACCCTGGTTGGGGCTTGCAATTCACCTTAGAATGTTAAAGTCATCTAAACTATCACAGAAAATGAGAGCACAATAAAGACATCTCTCATAAAAAACAGAATACTTCCTATGAATGAGAAGACTTCATTAACAATTAGACTTTTAAATATTTGAAAAAAACATATAAAACCAGGAGGTAATTGGGTTAAAGCATTTTACAGTGCTTGTGCTACTCTGGAAGAGGCTAGAGATGCTTAACTCATTTTAAACACTGTGAACATGTACATTAAAATTTTAGGAATACAAACTATAGACTACAGTCAGAATGTATAACTTTCAAACTAGCATAGGGAAAGAGGTAAAATGACTCAAAAGAAGGTAGGAAAGAAAGAAAAAAGAGTAGAAAAATCTGAGTAGAAAACAAAGTAAAATGATAGCTATAAATCCAAAAATATCAGCAATCACAATAGTAATAAATGAATTAAACTTCCTAGTTAAAAGACAGGGATTATTAGACTGGATATTTTTTAAAAGGAAACAAAATCCAATTATAAAACATATCTAAAACACAAAAACATAAAAAAAGAAAGGATAGAAAAAGATAAGCCAGGCACAGTGGCTCACACCTGTAATACCAGCACTTCGGAAGATAGAGACGAGAAGACTGCCTGAGTCCGTGGGTTTGAGATCAGCCTGAGCAACATGGCGAGACTTTGTCTATATAATAAAACAAAAAAATTAGCCAGGTGTGGTGGCTCATGCCTATGGTTCCAGATACTTAGAAGGCTGAGGTGGAAGGATCACCTGTACCCAGCAGGTCAAGGCTGCAGTGGCTGTGAGCATGTCACTGTACTCCAGCCTAGGTGACAGAGTGACTGTGACTCAAAAAAAGAAAAGAAAATAAAAAGATATATCAGGAAAATATTTGCTAGTATAATAATGAATAAAGGACTATATAGACATTAAGGCAAAAAGAATTCCCAGGGCAACAAGTCACTAAAAGAAATATACATATAACAGGACTGATTTGCCAAGAATTTAAATATATAACACATCTAACATAGGGTCAAAATATAGAAACAATAATTGGCAAAAAGTATGAGGAAACACAGTCAAGTCTATAGCCATGATATAAAAATTTAAAAGCCCCTTGGCTTTTAAAAGCCCCATGGTGGTGCATGCCTATAGTTCCAGCTACTTGGAAGGCAGAGGCAGAAGGATCGCCTGAGCCCAGCAGGTAGAGCCCAGTCTGGTTGACAGACTCTGACTCAAAAAAAAAAAAAAAAAGCCCCTTGATTAGTTTTTCAAGTTAAGTGGAAACATTCACATAAATTGATCATATTTTAGGGCAGGAAACAAGCTACAACACAGTTAAGTTGGAAATATATAATAATAATGACTTAAAAATTAAAAAGTAAAACCATGAATGTGGAGATTTCCTTATTTATTTGTTTTTTCGGAGTTGGAGTCTCACTCTGTCACTCAGGCTGGAGTGCAGTGGCACACTCATGGCCACTCTAGCCTTCTGAGGGATATTGCTAAGTTATTTCTTACAACTACATGTGAATCTACAATTATCTCAAAATAAAAAATTGTAAAAACTACATAATGATCAAGTTGGGATGGTTTTCCCAGGATGATTTAGCATTAGAAAATTCAATAATATATTACTGTATTATCAGTTTGACAGAGAACAAAACATATCTGTAAACTGACAAATGGAGGCCGGGCAAAATAGCTCACACCTGTAATCCTAGTACTTTAGGAGGCTGAGGTAGGAGAATGGCTTGAGGTTAGCCTGGGAAACATAGCAAGACCTGGTCTCTATAAAAAAATTTAAAAAGTTATCTGGTGGTGCATGCCTGCAATCCCAGCTATGCAGAAGGATCCCTTGAGCCTAGGAGTTCAAGGCTGCAGTAAGCAATGAAAACTATCATGCCACTGTACTCCACCCTGAGCAACAGAGTGAGACCTTGTCTCTAAAAGTAATAACAATAATAATAAACTGACAAGTGAGCCGGGCTCAGTGGCTCAGCCTGTAATCCCAGCACAATTGGGAGTCTAAGGTGAGTGGATTGCCTGAGCCTGTGGGTTCGAGACCCGCCTGGCCAACTTGGCGAGACATCATCTCTACAATAAATCAAAAATTAGTCGGGCGTAGTAGCGCGTGCCTGTAGTTCCAGCTACTTGGAAGGCTGAGGTGGAAGGATCGCCGGAGCCCAGCAGGTCGAGGCTGCAGTGGCCAGGAGCGGCCACTGTACTCCAGTCTGGGCGACAGAGTGAGACTCCAACTCAAAAAAATAAAAAATAATAAATAAATAAATAAACTGACAAGTGGTATTATTAAGAACCTACAGCAAAGGGGGCAATGGAAAACAGAAACCATCAAGAGAGAATTTCTACAAATTCCACCCATCACCTACCTAATACCTG